TTCAAAAAGCGGTATTAAATCTCTTAAAGGCATCAGGTGACCGGAATATGGTTGACACAGTATGTCACAACGTTAACCTTTCATTCAAATGTCACCGATGTGGCACTCAATAAACAAAGAAGAGTAGATATTACCATTCAGAAAGCGGTACCAAATCTCCTACAGGCTTCAATTCAGGTGACCGGAATATGGTTGACACAGATTGTCACGAGGTTAACTTTTATTCAAGGGTCACCGATGTGTCAAAAAAGAATATAAGTAATGAATAATCTAATCAGGTTGGTGAATGATTAAATAGCAAAGATCTTTATTCACACCCATTTGCCTAACAAGAGTCGAAGTTTTGATGACCGTCTGTCATCTTCAGGGCAATTATGACTGGTTCACCATATTACCCTGCTCAAGAGGACAGACGGTCATCGAAATGTCGGTAAATAAGTGGTTATGAATAAAGGACTTTGCTGTTCAAGAGTAAATATATTATCCTATCGTGAAAGCTCATCTGTGTTGGTAGTTACATGTTTAAAGTTAAACCTTTCGATCCAACACAAGAAATTCTCTCACCTAGAGCTTTCGACCAGTCACTCTGGTCTTCCTCAGTAGACTGATCCAGTGAAGCTTGTCACGTGGCTTCTTTGAAGTGTGACATCAACACTGGGTCAAAGGTATCTGGTAGACGATGTCGGCCCCCGTCGCGGTTCAATCAAGGGTAATGGGCCCTGATGTACAATGTATATGGTTTCCTTCACCCCTCTCAAGAAATAGCATTTCATATCGTCAAGGCGATGAGCTTCTCTGACCTGAATGCCTTGCTACAGATGCAGGGCGTAAAAGTAAATCAAAACAGACAGTCGGAAACATTTCATTTCAAGGCCCATACAAGATGACGTCAATGTATTTCCTCCAGCTTTTGATGAATAGTGCATTTCACCTCATCTTCCAAGGTTGTGTGCGTTTTTTTTTAGAAAACGCTTTCGGGTCTGCCAGGAAAGTACCATACTTTACGACGGAGTCTATCTGACGCCTAATCTCAGGAAAACTGATGACTCCTTCCCGTGGTGAAGAAAGAAGCTGTATTTTCCGAAGTTCCGACAAAGAAACACCATCGGGCTATCTGATGGGACGTCGGGAGGGATTTTATGACCGCTGCGTCGCGGGAGTTCCGCGCTGCCGACGCCGAGGATTTTTGGATCAGATTCTAACGGTGATATAAAACGAACTTGCAGGCCTATAGATCTTACGAACGTCTTGTTGCCGTGTAAAGTTGTTAGCGTGGGGTTGTGTGGCGTAGTGGCAGAGTGGTCGACTCGGAACCAAGAGGTTCCGGGTTCGAGTCCTAACATGCCACCGATCTTGTGCCCTTTTGAAAGGCACTTGACACGACTTTCCTCACTTAACTCAGGTGAAAATGAGTATTGTATTGTCCTCTGTGTTGGTGGCGACATTGCTATAAGTTGAAAAAACTTGACTGTGCCGTCACAACGTCTTGTGACTACATGTTGCAATATAAAAAAAGTTGTTTCAACACAGTGAACAGCCCCTCGGAGGTTTAAAACTTTAGATCCAACACAAAGAAGTTCTCTCACCTAGAGCTTTTGAGCAGTCACTGATCTTCTTCAGTAGACTGACCCAGTGTGGCTTGTCAAGTGGTATAGATAGGCAATGCTCTGGATACAATACTCACCAATCAAAGTCAGGTACGATTGCTCGCCTGTGTGGGTCCATGTAACAGTCTAGATACCAGGTTAGGCTGGCATGTTGACATTCCCTCCACAAATCGGCACGACGGCATGTCGGATAGAAGCACGGCTATATAGCACAGCCCTTTAACCCATTACTGGAACCGTCGATAATTGGGACAACCACGGCGCATTAGCTTACGGTAGCCTCCATAGCATGCCAACAACTCGGGGTTTTGGGGATTTCAGGGTCTTTGGGAGCTTTTATGTGCTATTTTCTGATTGCATATAGACAACATAGCCGGCCTGGTTGAATTACCCCAGTTTTTAAAACTGGTCTAATCAGAAAACAGCCGAAGACCACCAAACCCCCAGTTCTATAAGCCTGCTATATAGGCTAAGCTCACGCGGCGTAACCAAGACTTGTCAAGAGATTATTGTACAGGGATGTCGCTTACGCAGGTACTTATACAGGTCACACTTAGGATTCTGTGTTCGCCTTGCGTTACTTCAAACGCGATGTGCTCTAACAGCCTCCTTCCTCAAGAGGAGACAGATCAATAAATTTCATAGACAAAGACTTTATATACATCTTCTATGTTTTGTGTCGTGCATCACAATCTAATTCTAAAGTAAAGTATCAAACAAATCATTATTGTACAGGGATGTCGCTTACGCAGGTACTTATACAGGTCACATGTAGGATTCCATGTTCGCCTCGCGTTACTTCAAACCCATTAGCCTGCTGCCTCGATGTGCTTTCTGTGCAGAATGTATAACACCTGGACTGAACAGAGTGTATAATTGATCATTGAATATTTGGTGTAGTACTCTGTGAGTGTGTGTGTGTGTGTGTGTGTGTGTGTGTGTGTGTGTGTGTGTGTGTGTGTGTGTGTGTGTGTGTGTGTGTGTGTGTGTGTGAGACAGTGTGTGTGTGTGACAGTGTGTGTGTGTGACAGTGTGTGTGTGCGTGTGTGTGTGTGTGTGTGTGTGTGTATGTGTTTGTGTGTATATGCATGTCAAGACATCTCTTACATTACTTGTTTATTGTTGCTTGTCAATCTTTCTGGATTTTGAATATGTTATTTTTCTGTGTCATGTCATATTTATTAATGTAGAAAGGAACAGGAAGAATAGCAGACATGAGTGCTATCGTGGATCCAAGTAAACTTTAACTCTAACACCTTCTTTTTCATTAGTGTCTGCAACAGCTAAGTGACCGATGTGCGACCGGACATTTGATAGATTTCTCACTGAATTTCATTAACTGAGAGTGTTGCTGCCTTCAAGTCAAACTTGTGCATCGTGCACAACATTCTAATTACAAAACCAAGGACGACAGCCTCTCAACGATCGACGTCTAGTTGCAAAATTAAAAGCTTGTTCAAAATAGACCGGAACGATCGAGTCTGGGCCTACTCCTGAATACATTATGAGCGCTTGTTCTCTTCCCGCAGTTTCTATTGCCTGATAATTACACCATTAACCATGTGAAACAGTCTATTAACAAGACGACAAAGATATCAGGGAAGTACATCAATTTTCACCAAGTCATGAATAACCCATTCGCAAGGTTTCTTACCGTGAAAAGATAAGACTGAGTCTTTTCTTTAACGTATTCAGATAAACGTTATCAATTTCCTAAAAGAGGAAGTGTGGAAGAATGATTATCAAATGAAAGCAGACCATTGCATGCATGTGTGACCAATGGTGGTCGTTGAAACCTTACCCCTAAGCCATACACACATACACACGCACAGAGTACTAATGAGGACCTTAAAACCAATGACAATGAAATACAACAGTTGAATAAATTCAAATGTGAAAAGGCATAATTCAACGAACATAGAAGTTTGGACAAAAACGATGGACTCTTTTGATGTTATGGAACAACGTACCTAATCATGTAAATCATCCTTCCAGTTCTTGATTTCTGTCAAATGCCAGTGAAGTCATGGCTAATGAAAACGTTATTTTGAGAAGAAAACAAAAGATCAACATTACTAACTTGCAATTGTACGTGGTCATGATAATTTAATGTTATTTTCATCCGCGGTTCCAGTTGATACGTATACGTTCCGTAGAGATTTTACCAATTTTCTCCCCACACGTTTCACACGTACCCAACCACATCTGTTAGCCGGCTTTTCGCCCTCGCACCTACAGTCCCCAGGCAATTCTGTAAAGAGCCGTCTATTTGTTGCCTGGCCTTCAACAAAGTACCCACTGAGGTTCGATGGCCATCTGCCATCTTCATCAAGGCAATTATGAACCAGTCTAGAACCTAGAACGAAATGTCATTACAATCCAAACTTTAAGGATCTAAAAGGTTGATTTTATCCGTTAAATATTTCATCAGGTTGGTATTAAAATGATTGAATAGCTATATTCACAAAGACAAACAAGAGCCGGCGTTTGAATGACCGTCTGTCATCTTCACCTAGGCAATTATCAACTGAGTCATAATATCGATTTGTGTACTTTTTTCTCTCTAGACAAAATTGTTATCCTTCTACATCAAGACCTCAATATTGTATCTCCCTTTATGCTCGTAGCCAGGGGAAAGATTAAAATGAGTCGGTTGGGTGTTCGGTAGTGTCACGTGGAGCGGCCGGCCCCTTTATGACGTCAGCACCCAGCGTCTTATTGCCAATCCGGTCTCGTGAGCGCAGCCGGCATAAAAGCCGCGTGTAGCCCTCCGGGCGCCAGTAGAGCTAGGGCACTGGTACTCCGCGATGTATCTGTGTCTGCTGTATGGGCAGTATAGCTAGTAACTGCCATTCGGTGTTAGAGAACACCAACTTCTGTATCCGTATAGCTGGTATAACGCACCAGCTTCTGTATCTGTATCTGTGTCGCCAGTATAACTGCTCTTCCGCGTAACACTCCAGCTTCTGTATCTGTATAGCCGGCGCACCAGCTTCTGTACCTGTATCTGTATAGCCGGTATAACTGCTCTTCGGTGTACGAGAACACACCAGCTTCTATACCTGTATAGCGGGTATTACGGAACTACGGCGTGACACGCCAGCTTCGCAGGCACGCGGCGCGGCGGCAGCTGGCTTCAGGATGTGACACCGAGCGACCTGTTACACCCAACCTCTGCACATCTCACTGCAGCCGCTGTTTAAAAGCTATCTACTCACTGAGGATAGCCAAACTGTACTCGGTGGCAGCGAGTTCCACTCTACGATAGGTCTTAAGCTCTACCGCCACCATGAACGCGTCCCAGTATCACAACGACTCTGCAGCAGAGCTCGACAGCTATGTCAGCCCCACAGACCTCGTCTTACCCACTTCTCTTGTCCTCACCTCAGCAATGAACGCCACAACTGACTACCTGGACGATGAGGGCGCCTCGGAGTGGCAGGACATCATGCCCTACTACCCTGACATCAACCCGAACAACAACACCAGCAGCAACCCGGTAGAAAACAGCTTCAACGACGACGCCTTCAAAATCGCCATCGGCTTTCTCCTAACCCTCATCATGCTGGTTTGCGGTGTGGGCAACTTTCTTCTCATGGTGGTCATCGCAAGATACAAGCAGATGCGCACGGTGACGAACCTTCTCATCGCGAACCTGTCGCTGTCAGACTTCCTGGTGGCCCTGCTGTGCGTCCCGTTTATCATGGACTACTACGTGGTGCGGGTGGCGCACTCCTGGCAGTACGGGGACAACACCTGCATGGTGGTCAACTTCGTCCGAACCGCGTCGCTCTACGTCTCCACAAACGCACTGCTGGTCATCGCACTGGACAGGTAAGAAATGTTTTTTGATTCTCTATCTAGAAACTAGCCTGTTTGTCCCCCAGTCAGTCAGTCAGTCAGTCACTCATTCATTCACTCAGTCAGTCAGTCAGTCAGTCACTCACTCATTCACTCAGTCACTCACCCACACATCCATTCACTCACTCACTCACTCTCTCACTCACTCACTCTTTCACTCACTCACCCACTCACTCACTCACTCACTCTTTCACTCACTCACTCATTCACTCACTCTCATACACTCACTCACTCACTCACTCACTCACCTACCCACTCACTCGTTCACTCACTCACTCACTCACTCACTCACTCACTCACTCACTCTCATACACTCACTCACTCACTCACTCAATCACCTACCCACTCACTCGTTCACTTACTCACTCACTCACTCACTCACTCACTCACTCACTCTCATACACTCACTCACTCACTCACCTACCCACTCACTCGTTCACTCACTCACTCACTCACTCACTCACTCACTCACTCATTCACGCAGTCAGACATTCTCACTACCTTATTAAAAGTCCAATTGTGAAATTGTGATATTACAATGGAATGAATAAGTAAATGGACTTTGTGCAGGCTACAATGTTTTAAAATTACTAGAAAGAATTTGTATTGAAACACACATATACACATACTTATTGGAATACTTTGCTATGGTGACAGAAGGGAAATATGAAACCACAAATTTGTTTCATATCTCATCGAAGGTACAGTTGGCACCCATTCAGCTTTTCTAAAAATCGATTTTGGGTCCTTTTTTCACAAAGGTGGGTTTATTGAGCGCGATATTTCATCTAAGTCATCAGAAACACCCACAGACCCGGCGGCCGATACAGCGCGACACGGCAGTTTATATAGTGTGTGTGAGAGACAGGTTATTAGGATAGTATCATCGGTGAAAAATGAGAAATAATGTCGGCGATTTTTATCAGTCAGTGCGCGAGGCCACTGTTGTAATATCGGGACGATAAAGGGTTGGTATGAAGGACGGCATCACAGAGAATGAAATGCAACCGGTGGTCGATGCATCTTTAACGGTAACACGGTTCTGAACATCTGATATTGTGTTGTTGAATCCATAACTGTGCTTATGCCTGAATGGGTTAGGATCAGGCACGGTTCTGGATAGTCTCCGTATATCCAAGAGCGTAGGTTTGCCACAGAGATGGTTCTGGATACGTTTGGACTATCCAGAACCGTGCATGAGCATATGAAAGTATATATGTCAAGGCAGAGGCCCCGATATCTGGTACAGGGTCAATGATTCTACCGGTAGAGATCCCGATCGGAGTCTCTGTCGACTGTTACTGTTACAAATCCCATTTAAAAATCATAAATTCAAGTCAATTCATTGATTTTAAATGGCACGAATCAAACTTGAAAAGGTCTAACTGTCTTTTAAGCAAATATCTTTTAACAAATGTACAACTCCGTTCAGGATCACTCCTATTATAATCAGCAGTCTAGACAGTGATGTTGTTATCATGATGCTAAAACAACGGTCTCCAACGGGGCACCTCCTTAAGCTTGTGACAGATGCACCTGTAGCAGTGTGCAATCTGTCACTGTCGCTAACTAAAATAATGGCAGTGTCCAGAACCGTTCTTTATCCAGAATCAGCTCTGACACGGTTCTGGATTGTCCATGCGTATCCAAAACTGTGCGTGGGACAAATCTATGTTCTTGGATACCCTGAGACATATCCAAAACCTTTTCAGGCATAGGACTAGATAGACACGATATTGGATACAACCTGTCACTGTTACTGAAATAAATAATGGCCTTGTCAAGAACCGTTCTGGGTAGTCTATGCGCATCCAGAACCATACGTAGAGACATATCCAGAACCCATAGAACTAGATATGCACGATGTTGGATAGGCCTCCAACAGGACACCTCTTCAAGCCTATAAAGGATTAACCAATAACAGCGTCTAATCTGTCACTGTCATTGAAATAATGGCCCTGTCATACCCAGGACTTCATCAAGAACCACGCGTATCCAGAACCGTGCCTGGGGCAAATCTACGTTCTTGGATAGAATGTCAGACATATCCAGAACTCGTTCTGGCGTAGAACTAGATAGGCACGATGTTGGATACAATAGGGTCATCCATCGAGGCACCTTCTTAGTCTGTAAAGGATGCACCAATAATGTTCAGCATCCAATATGTCACTGTCAATGAAATAATGGCATTGTCATATCCAGAGCCGAACTTTATCCGGCCTGAATCAGCTCTGGCACGGTTCGGGATAGTCCAAGCGTATCCAGAACCGTGTCTAGGGCAAATCTTCGTTCTTGGATACACTTTACTGGCTTCTTTACAAGATATGGACTTGGATTGTTACTGGACTTATTGGAGGGAGAAGGACCTCGGTATCTACCAGTCTTTGCTTCTCTAACTTCGAAGAAGAACAAGGATACACTGAAACAACCCATCCAGGCATAGACTAAGCTAGGTGCGATGTTGGATACAATGCCCCTCTTTAAGTCTGTCTCCTACAAGTCACCTCCTTAAGCCTGTAAAGGATGCACCAATAACAGCATGTAATCCGTCACTGCCATTGTAATTATGGCAGTCATATCCAGATCTGAACGTCATCCAGTACCATGCCATAGATTTGCCCTAGGCACGGTTCTGGATACGCATGGACTATCCATTCTGAATAGCCCACGCGTATCCAGAACTGTGCCTAGGGCAAATCTACGTTCTTGGATACACTGAGGCATATCCAGAACCCATTCAAGCATAGAACTAGACAGGTACGATGTAGGTCTCCTACAAGCCACCTCTTTAAGCTTGTAAAGGATTCCCCAATACCAGCATGTAATCCGTCACTGTCGCGCGGGTGTCGCGGGTTCACGCCGTCATCTGCGGTTTTATCCGGCACGAAGAATGCTGCAATTTCCGCCGACATGGCTGCAATACATTATACAAGTGGCAATACTTCCACCACCAATTTATTTAGCCATGACAGGAGTTTTTCTTCTTCCTAATATGAGACCGGTGCAATGGCCAAGTGGGTAGAGTGCTCGCCTTGCATTCGGTAGGTCGTGAGTTCGATTCCCAGGCGAGTCATTCCAAAGACTTTAAAAATGGTACATACTGATTTCTCTGCATTTGGGAAACAGTATGGGAGTTCAACACTCACCACTACCAGTGGGCTATAGCCCCCTGCTGTAGGGATTTCACAATTGTGTGGCCCGAGGGTTACTGAACCGGAGATGGGCGCCGCCCTATGCACCAGGAAGGACTTGACTTGAAGTAATATGAGACTGAAGCCGTGCCAGTCTCTGCAACTTTTGCCAAAGTCGTGCTATGAGTTCATGAAGTTGTTATTCGCTATTAGTCTTATAGTAGTAATTAGTCTTAAATGGCAAGCAGAATGAAGTCGCATTCATCAATGTTCTGCAAGTCTCAAATCAAGAGCGTTGCCGACTTTTGAGATAAGCCCACTATTGTATCTAGAACCGTGCGTGACATGTTTTTTTTCTACCTTATATTCTATCTAAGAGACTGAAGCCTTGCTATGATTTCATATGTTGTTATTCATTGTAAGGCCATGTTGATTTGATTATATGGATTACATCCTCTGGGAACCCCAAAACTGATGCGAGCGTACAAATAAAAAAAGTTTGGCAAAAAAGTTGCCTCCATTATAAAATCTAGGTGGTCATGAAGGTTGAACAAATGCTATCCATTCCGCGTCTCGTGCGAAGAGGATTATGCAGCGTTAGCGGGAATGCATCACCATCACCCCCGGGTGTGCAATTCCCTCCTAGTTTCCCCCAGGAGTGCAATTCTCTCACCTTCACCCCCGGTGTGCGATTCTCCATGTCGGGAGACGCTTAAAGCAGAACGGCGGGAACTCGCGCGCGTAAGTGCCGCGCTGTGACCTTCCTGACACCTGAAGTGACAGCAGCTGTAAATTTTACAAACATTTCGTAACACACCATTGGCCGTGGACCAATGAAATTCCTTTTTGTATCCACGATATGGTGGCCTTAAAAAGGTGTGCTTGAACAACCTGTTCCACCATACCTTCCACTATGTGCAAAATTGTCATAAATGAATAAATGATTAATGAACGTGCTTTATCCACACGTGAGGCACGCGTAGTCTACGGCTATCCAGAACCGTGCAAATCTACGTTCTTGGATACACTGACACAATCCATAACCGTGCCTGATCCTAACCCTGACCCATTCAGGCACTGAACCAGATAGACACGGTTCTAGGTAAGATAGACATCTGCACAAATCTAAAAATCTTACAAACATTCCGTAACACACCCTCTGACCGTGGGTCGATGGAATTCATGGAGCGTCTGAGCGTAACAAGCATCCAATAAACCAGGTTCAAGCCTAACCGTGCAGTTAGAGAGGCCATGAATGTTTCACACCTTGTTCTCAGTTCGTTTATTCTTTAATTCATAGCTGTTCGTACTTATTACTAGCTTCTGTGTTTTTCTTCAGTTGGAACGTCGAAGAGGGATTTGAGAACCTTTGCATCATAGAAGTTATTTGGCTATTTCTAGAAATATGAAATTGACAGTAGGACACTATCAATCAACTGGATTGAGCTTCTGTGATTTTCTTTTCGAACTTCTAAGAGGAATTTAAGAACGTTTGCACAATTGAAGCTGCTTTATTATTTCTGAAAATATCAAAATGACAGTGAGACCCTATCAATCAACTGGATAATGTATGAAAGCGTTTGGAGCGGCAGAAGGTTGTATTACACCGAATTACTTGTCAACCCACACCCTTTATATTTGACTTGGAAGATGCTAGTAGCTGGTGTGTGGCGATAGTCAATAACTATAATACAGCCCGTGGCAAAAACGAATACTAAGTATTCCACATATTATAGAAAAAGTGGGTAAATTGGTCTTCCATTGAAGAAGAAGTCAAACCCAGTAAAACTAGTACCATGTACGTTGTAGAATGTAGTATAATGTTAGACGTAGTCTCTCATA